CCCAGCGGCTCCGAGAGTGGCAGGCCCTGCTGTTCCTCCTCTTCCTGTCCGTCTACCTGCTCACTGTCACAGGGAACCTGGCCGTCATCGCTGTGGTGCCGCGGGACCGGCGGCTGCACTCGCCCATGTACTCGCTGCTCCAGCACCTCTCCTTCCTGGAGGTCGGGTACACGTCCACCATCGTGCCCCTGCTGCTGGCCGGCCTGCTCTCCGGGGCCAGGCCATCTCCTTCTCTGCCTGCATCACACAGCTCTACTTCTTCGTCTTCCTCGGGGCCACCGAGTGCTTCCTCCTGGCCATGATGGCCTACGACCGCTTCCTGGCCATCTGCCGCCTGCTCCACTACTCTGTCCTCATGAGTCCTGAGACCGAGACCTGCACCCGGCTGGTCACGGTCTCCTGGACAGCAGGGCTGGGCACAGGCTTCCTGCCCTCCCTGATGATTTCTCAGCTGGACTTCTGTGGGCCCAACCAGATCGACCACTTCTTCTGTGACCTCCCTCCCCTCATGCAGCTCTCCTGCTCCAGCGTCTATGCCACCGAGATGGCTGTCTTCCTCCTGTCCGATGCCGTGCTCTGCATTTGTTTCTTTCTGACACGTCCTATGTTTTCATCGTGTCCTCCATATTGGGCATCCCCTCAGCTTCTGGGCGGATGAAGACTTTTTCCACCTGTGGCTCCCATCTGGCTGTTGTCACCATCTACTATGGGACCATGATCTCCATGTATGTGCGTCCCAATGCCCACCTGTCACAACCCCGTTATCTACAGCCTGAGGAACAAAGACTTCAAGGCGGCTGTTAGAAAAGTCACAGGAAGGAAGTGTGGCATCTATGGAGAAAGAGTGAAGGGAAGCTTCTTTATCAGGTAGGGACAGTATGCAGCAGACACACCGTGGGCCAAGGCCAGGGACGGGGAATGATTAATTCAGATTATGAGAAAAATATTATTTAACAACGTATAAGGGCATTTAAGAAATGATGTCAAATGAACATTTGGATGTGTGTCTCTGGAACTCAGAGGAGAGTCCTTACCAACAGTTAAAAATGTGAAAGTTTTAGGTAAAACACTTGAGTTTCTTGTATATTCTGGTTATCAGTCTCTTATCTGAGGCATAGTTTGAAAATATATTCTCCCATTCTGGGGTTGCTGTTTCACTCTAACTATTGTTATTCTTTTGCTGAGCAGAAGCTTTTCAACCTGATGTAATCCCACTTGTCTACTTTTGGGATTACTGCCTGAGCTTCAAGGTCTTATTTAAGACGTTTTTCATGGGAGGTATAGAAACATGGAGAACAGTTCCAGATAACGGAGACAGTGTGAGGGGTGGTGGGTGGTGGGTGGTGCGGAGTGTGAAAGGAAGGAAATCAAGGAGAAAGTGAGGTAAGACATTTATGGGACAGAGAAATGAAAGATTGTCTGTCGATGATAATGTGTATGATAATATCTTTAACTGGGCTGGTATGCAGTGTATTTTGGCTGAAAAAATTCATTTTACAAGCTGTGGTGATATACAGTGAGTGAATGTATAAAATAAATTCTAAATTTTTTAAATAAGTAAATAAGTGATTTTTTTAAATGTTAATTTTTTTATTTCTCTTTTTTTTTTTTTTTTGAGAGAGATTTTTGCTATAGGGTACATGCACTTGTCAGAGAGACAGAAAGTGAGAAATCATCCCCCTGGAGGGATGGCCATGCCACAATTCCTTCTCCTCCATTCTCCTCTCAAGATTTTGGGCATGCATGCATGCATACCCAGCACGACTTTTAATTTGCTGGAACTTGAACTTTGGTCAACTATGTGGGAGTCCAGCGATATAACCATTACACCACCTACTGGACCCCAAAATGTAAAAGTTTTCAACATATAGATGATTATTTGAAAACATGAGACTTGGTAAAATTTAGAGCATAAAATAATTTTAAAACATAAAATTTAATGAAAGGAATAGGAACCCAAAAAAGATACAGAAGGAACAATCCCAGAAGTGGGAGGGCATTTAAGAGCTGATTAACAGGTTCCTCAAAGGGCTGAGAGAATTCTGAGAAAGAAGAGACTGAGAAATGAATTTAGTATAGAGGTAAGATGCAAATCGACATACAGACATGAGTAATGTTTTTATACACCAATAAAAAACTAAGAAAGAAATCAAGGTAACAATCCTATGAGTAGTAACCACAAAGTAAGATAAAAGAAATTACTGAGAAATAAATGTAACCAAGAAGATGAAAGATTTCCTTTATTTTTTTAATAGGTTTTTGCCTTAGGGTATGTGGGCTCTCTGGAGAGAAAAGCACAGTCAGAGGGAAGCAGGGGTGGCCATACCACCATCCTTTCTCCATCATTTTCCTCCCAGGATCTTGGGCATGCACACACATGTTCCCAGAGTGATTTTGAAGCCACTGGGTCTGAAACGCAAACTGTGGTCAGACATATGAGTATCCAGCAACATGACCACTATGCCATCTGCTGATCCCTAAGATGAAAAATTTCTATACTGAAACTATAAAACACTAACGGAAAAAAATGAAGAAGTACTAACAAATAAATGGCAAAAAATGGAAAGTTATCCCACACTAACGTATTGGAAGAATCAATATTGCTAAAATGGTCACACTATCCCAAATAATCTACAAATCCAGTGAGATACCTATCAATATATTCATGGCATTTTTCCCAGCCATGGGAAAATAATAAAAACTACTCATAAAATTTGTTTGGAATCATTAAAGATTCAATTAGTCAAAACACTTATCTGAAAAACAAAACAAAACAAAACAAAGTTTGGAAGCATTGCCATCACACTACCTGTCTGCAAACTAGACTGCAGAACCTAGTAAACAGTACTGCATGGTACCAGCACAAAAGCAGACACAGAGACCATTGGAGCAGAATAGAGAAACAGGAACAGCCAACTAGTTTTTCACAAAGTGTCAAGAATATTCAATTAGGGAAACACAATCTCTTTGATAAATGGTGTTGGTAAAATTGGATATCTATGTGCAGAAGAATGAAACTACTATCTTATCTCTTACCATATGCAAAAATTAACTCAACATGAATTAAATAGTTAAGTATAAAAGCCCAAACCATAAAATTAGTGAAACATGGAGAAATGACTCAAGACATTGGTCTAGGCAAATACATTAAAAGGCAAGAAATTTATGGGACACAGAAATAGATTGTTGTCTATTGATAATGTGTATAGTATCCTCAACCGGACTAGTGTGAGGCGTATTTATGCTGAGTAAATTCACTTTACAAGTGAAGAAATGTGTTGTAATAGAATGTATAAAATAAATTTTTAAAATTAAAATAAAAAGTAAAACCTCAAAAGAATAGGCAAAAACACCAAAAAAATAAATAAGTGGGATTATATCAACCCAAAATGTGTCTATATAGCAAGTAAAACAATCAACTGGGTGAAAAGACAACCTACAGAAAAGGAGAAAATAAATTGACAAGTTACACATCTGACTAGGGATTAATACCAGTTAATATAAGAAATTCAAATAGATCACCAGCTAAAAAATTTAGTAGCCCAATTTAAAAATGGGCAGTCACAAATCCAGGTTGTTCTGAGATGGCTACTAAACTTGAGCTGTGAAATACTGGTTTCAGGTACTAAAATGAAGATTTTTCTGCTGATCCTTCACCCTCCAGATTCATTTCTAGAGTGGGCTGGCAACCTACCTCTCTGATATACAAAGAGTGAAAAACAGAATGGAAGCGAGATTGCAGGTCACCTCCTCCTACGCACCTCTGAACACTCAGATCGAACTTCAGTAATTAGGAATGCACAACCCATCAGATGACCATAAATCACTGCAGGAGCACAAGAAATATAAGAAAGCAAGAAAATACCTCTCCTCCAAGGGAAAAGAATAACTCTTCTTCATCTACAGACAGTACAATGGAACTCATGGAAATGTCACATAAAGAATTTAGAATATTCCTATTGACAAAGTTAACAGAGATACAAGAGAAGAGAAACAATGAACTCCAGAAGATGCAGAAGAAAAGATCTGATGATTTCCGGGAGGTGAGGACGTTCTTGCATGATCTGAAAGAGGAATACACACCATAAAAATAATGAAATGAAACTATTAGAAATGAAGTCTATAATACAGGAAATCAAAACCTCCCTTGAAAGTATTAAAAGCAGACTAGATCATACAAAAGATCAAATCTCAAATGTAGAAGACAGAATCACTGGTCTAGAAAAATCCACTATGGAGACTGAGAAAATCACCCCCCAAAATGAGAATAATATATGAGAAGTCCTAGATACCATTAAATGTCCAAACATCTGGATAATCAATATCTCAGAAGGTGAAGAGATTAATAATGGCATTGATAATCTATTCCATGAAATCCTGGAAGAAAATGGTCCAATCCTAGAGAGGCATTCAAAGATCCAGTCCCAAGAAATACAAAGGACCCCAAATAGAATAAAACCAAGAAGATCTTCTCCAAGACACATTATAGCCAGATTGACCAAAACCACAGACGAAGAGAAGATACTAAGTCTGACAAGAGAGAAATGTCAAATTACGTGCAAAGGATATCCCGTCAGGCTAACAGCAGATATCTCATCAGAAACAATGCAAGTAAGTCATCAGAAACAATGCAAGTAAGGAAAGAATGGGAAAATATATTTAAAGTGTTAAGGGAAAAACAATTTCAACCAAGAATACTGTACCCGGCAAGATTATCCTTCATATGGGAAGAAAAGACAAGAACATTCTCAGATAAACAAAACCTGAAAGAATTTAGCAACACGAGACCAGCTCTCCAAGTTCTGCAGGTAGTACTATACTAGAAAAACTAAATAAGGCACAAAAATAAGAGTTAAAAACAACTAAGAAAACGGCCCACTTAATGGTAGGAACAAGTCTGGAGTTGAATGTTATCTTCCAGAATTTAAACAGGGAGACTGGACCACAACTGAAGATAGATTAAGTACATGAGACTGAACTGGTGAAATAGAATCTTATGACTTTTGACTAAAACATTACTGATTTTCTCCTATGTTTTGTTTTCCAGATTTATGGATTTGTGTCTTATCTTGAGCTGCTGAGAAGCTCATGTACCTACTATTTGAACAGAATCCTAACCTGTTTCCTGGCTTTAAGTTTTAAGCAAAGCTCTCTTAGCATTTTTTAAAATTTTGATTTATTAAAGCTAAAACTGCTTTCCTTGAAATTAAAAAATATTTAAAAATACCTCTTTAATGACTGCAGTAAGCTATATAGCATCAGCTAGGTGCTACTTTATAGTATATTCATTGTACTCAGAGGTTCACACCTAAAGTCAGACATGTGTTCACAGATGTGTATATATCAGCTGAACTTGCTATTGAAAGTAGTTAGATTTAGATATTTGTGAATCAATAAAATGTGTGTGGGGGGAAATAAAGGAATGGAAAGCAACTTTAGACACCAGAGACAGTGTGGGAGGAGAGTGGGAAATGGCAGAGGATGAGAAGTAGGAGGGAAAAAAATATATATATAAAACAAGAAATGGAAAATTATTTGTCAATGATAACATGTATGATTCAGTCACTATGCTGTGTATTCTGGATGCGAAATTACATTTTATATATTGTGATGATGCTCAGTGAGTGAATGTAAAATAAATAAATTAATTCATTTTTAAAAATGGGCAATCAATTTGAACAGCCTTTTTTTCCTTCTTGCCACAGAATGCCTGCACTCACTGGAAAGAGATAGAAAGAGACAACGAGAGAGAAATTGAGAAATCGCCCCTGGGCAGGGGGGGGATGGCCATGCCATGATCCTTCTCCATTCTCCTCCTGGGATTTTGGACATGCTTGTGATTTTCAAACCTTCAGGTCCAGTACTTAAATTGCAGTCAGCCACGTGGGAGTCTAGCACTATATTCACCATGCCACCTGCTGGCCTCTTGAACAGACATATTTTTTCTTTTCTTTTCTTTTCTTTCTTTTTTTTTTTTTTTTGAGAGTTTTTTTTTTTTTTTTTTTTTTTTTTTTTAGAGCCCC